AAAATACCAATTATATATATTTAAATAGTATAACACAAGTGCTTAATGGTAATTTCACTTAAAAATATTCGAGCCGAGCTCGAGCTATTGTATTTTTTTATCAAGTCGAGCTCGAGCCTCATAAATCGAGCTCGAGCAGCTAAAAAATATTCAATCCTGCTCGATAAGGTCAATGCTCGACTCAGCTCGGCTTGTTTGCAGCCTTATGTATAATACTGCAAAAAAGACTTAACTCACTTTACCAAAGTGTAATAGCTTAAACCTGTCAAGGGCTTGCAGTGTTAATCGAGCAAAAGTCTGCTGAACACAAAAGCTACAATATGAAGTGTCTTACATTTAAATCAGTAGCCAAAATGTTTCCACAAGTGGAAAAAACCTACAACAGTTCGGAATAACCTCTTCTCCGAATGATAAATGATCGTGTCGAAAAGTATGTAATCTCTAACAACAATGTAAATGTGTAGTTTCTTTCCGGTTTTAACTAATCTGCAAACGAAATTTGTCGTCCATATTCCCATCAACTTCCAAGTATAACAAGCCGACTGAAAATTGTTGCAATACGCATCAGTAAACAAAAAATGAACATGGCACCAAACTCAATTGCCAAAAAAGGAAAAAGAAAAACAGAAAACATCGATATTTTACAGATTATAAAATATAATAATTTGCTGTGCCAAACAAGGGGTATCTCTATGGCAAATAGGAACATTCAAGGGGGTAATAGTAATTATAGTATATATCGATATCTATATATATATATATATATAATTTCAGGCTATCAAATCAATGCAAATGACAAAATTTTCACGCACGATTTTTAAATTAATTATGGTAAAAACGTTAAATTTTATATTATTAAGTATAATTATATTTTATTAATTATCTATCATACAATAGCTATTGCTGAAATAAACTACTTATAATTTACATTAAATGATATATGTAAGTTACATAATCACAAAAAATTATATTGCATTTTTTATCAAGCTATTTATTCTTAAGTAATGTTAGTTTTTAATTATATAATTAATTTAATGACATGGAAAACCCCCTTAAATAATTCAATAATTATAATAAATATTATTGTTTCAATAATTTTCTAGGTAGTTAGATCGTCATGATCCCTCAAAGTAACAAAAATACGTTATGTATTACATTTTATGCAATCAATATACACGTGTAGTAAAAAATTTATAA